GCTCGCCATAGACAGGCTGAGCGCCCAGCTGCTCTTCTCCTCCAGGCAGCGCTTCCCAAGTCCAGCGCTTGGCTCCAGCAGCATGTCGCCAATCCTTGCATACCGCAAATGAGGAGGAGCTGCTTGCTCCTCCCGAAGATATAGCGGCCTACTGGCCTCTTGGGCGGTGACTTCCTAGGCCGAGCGGCCTCCCAGCAACCAGTACCTCCTCCCTTTCGGAGGGAAACACCATTGCCGGCCACAGGTAAGTACCGGCCCTGTGGGGCCTTTCAACCAACAAGTACCCTCGCGGGTCACACACACACTCAGGCCGACAAGCACTCAGACAGGCATGCAAACCAGCAGGCACGCACACACACACAGACTTGAAAATCACAGCAGAATGCGGAAATCTCAGCAAGGCATTCATTCCAGCGGCAAATCCTAGAAATCAGCAGTGTTCTCAGTCTGTGTTTTGGCGGGTCATTACACCACCCTCTATCCATACGCTTCCTAAATTGGGAGCGTGGAAAATAACTTCCCAGACAGCTATGCTACAGATCTAACGGTACTGAAAAACAACCCCCAACACTGGGCTGTGCACCCTCCGACGGTTCCTGATGTGAAAAAAGGCTCCCTCTAGCTCCTCATCCCTACCAGCAAGTGCCTTCCTCCTGCGGAAAAGAGACCAAGTGTTCAGGTCTTACTGTGTTAAATCTTTACATTTGGTCTATTGGGGCCCAGTGGAAAAGAAGAAAAAAGAATGGCTGGCAATTGGGTAAACCGGGGGACCTGCAGCCAAAAGCCTCTGGTTCAGCTGAAGTACCTGTCCGTGACCAGAAGTGCTGGTTTAAACCACTGCTACTTGGCCCAGCTATCGGCCGTGGAAAAAGATAGAGCAGAAACGTTTCTAGTCGAATGAATTTGAGCGCTTCTATAGTGGCCCGTATGTTCTACCGTCTTAACCCGAAAACAAGGTACGTACCTCGTATTCAAGTTACCTCCGAAAAAAGGTTTCGAAGAAATCGCTGTTAAATTTTCGAATAGACGGTACCCTCGAATACAAGGTGCATACCTTGTATTCTAATACAAGGTACATACCTTGCATTCGAATACAAGGTACGTACCTTGCATTCGAATACAACGGTACCCTCGAATACAAGGTGCATACCTTGTATTCGAATACAAGGTACGTACCTTGCATTCAAATACAAGGTACGTACCT